TACGAAATGGTTTGAAGAGCACACAGTAAAAGCTTATTCTAATTGTCAGTATTTAAAAATAATTTCCAGACATAATTTGCCTACATTTACTCCCCCAGCATCAACTGGCAGAATATGGTCTTAAATGAAGATCACCCACTTTAATCGATATATATTTTGCATTATAATATGTCTTCTAAATTGGTTTAATTATTTTAATATTTAAAGAATTGGATCTGTAATAAATACTTTGACAGCGTATGGGAAACCTTCCAAGCAGAAAAAGTTTGGTTTTATTATTCCATTTTCAAAAATGGAAAGACACTGTCATTTCTATACAACAAACTTTACTGGAGGCAACAAGTCACCACTAAATTCATCACAGTAAAACATGCTGTGTTGATACATGGAGTGTTAAACCTGGATTTAAAAAATTGGTAAACATAAAAAACAAAACAAAAATGGACATACAGTCGATTCTGATTAACCTTCCTGTGCATCTTATTGCTTTCTATTATGAACTATTTTAGGATTCAGGAAGGGCATTCCCTTGTGGCTGGGTTTTATTGCCGTACTGAAAGTCAGAAGTTTAAGGAAATGTGTTGGGTTCTGATAATCTAAATGGATTTAGGAAGTTCTCTCTTATAAATATTGACTCCAATTTTGCAAAATATACGGTCTATGCAACCAATCATATTACCCAGATGGCGTCTGCAATCAGAATAATGATACTGTCAGTTGCCCTGTGGCGTACGTTGATCTCCCAGGTAAAAACTAGGAAGGCACAGCTGTGCATCTTCATAGTTCACAAACCCCGTTTAAAAAAAAAAATATTTCAGAGTCTTCACTAACAAGGGAGAAGTTGCCGATCATGTGATCAACGTAACAGTCAATCATAATTATCACATGCAAGTTAGAGGATAATTAAGAAAAATAACCTGCTCAGCTTGCAGATATCACTGCAACATGAAGACGGCAGTTTCCCTCTAACACCATAATTGTCAGATATAATTACAGTAACAAAAAAAAAAACCAACACATTTCTGCATAATTTTGTCTGAGCATCTAGGGTTCATGACCTATGGTCATGAAACTGGTAAAGGAGACCCCAAAACCAAAATATAAAGTCCTAAAATGTAGCCAACTGTAATTGATTAGATTACAACAGCAACAAGTTAAACGGTTAATATTTTTGAGTGAACAGTTAAAGTAGAGCTCTAGGCTC